GCCACGAATATGCAAAGTACGACCACTAGAGCTAGTTGGGGTGAGAAGAGGAGTACCTACATCAGGGGCGCGCACCAACTTCTTTCGGGGCCTGCGCATGCTCGGCCCAGCACGCGCCGCGCCCGGCCATTCCATGGAGGCCGACATGTACTGTGAGTCGGGACCAAGCAGGCGTTCCCGCACCTCGTGTCGGTTTCGACGTGGTGGGCCAGAAGGATAAAGGCCCCCCGCTCAAGACGCTGTTCCCCATCCTGGCATGGTTCCGCAAGCTGTGCGCCGACGAGGGCGTCACCATCCCTCTGTTCCTGCACGCGGGCGAGACGCTGGGCGACGGGACCGAGACGGACGGGAACCTGTTCGACGCCGTGCTGCTGGGCGCCCGCCGCGTCGGCCACGCCTTCTCGCTGTACAAGCACCCGCTCCTCGTCGAGCTCGTCAAGGACCGCCGCATCCTCGTCGAGAGCTGTCCCATCAGCAACGAGGTGCTGCGCCTCTGCTCCAGCGTCACGGCCCACCCGCTACCCGCGCTGCTGGCGAGGGGGGTGCCCTGCGCCCTCAGCAACGACGACCCGGGCATGCTCGGTCACGACACGGCCGGCGCCACCCACGACTTTTGGTCCGCCCTGCAAGGGTGGGACAACCTCGGCCTGGCCGGCCTGGGCTCGCTGGCCGAGAACAGCGTGCGCTGGGCCGCATTCGAGGACGAAAACGACGCCGCCTGGGTCCAGGGCGTCAAGGAGGCGTCCCTGGGGTCCGGCGTCAAGGCCCAGCGTCTGAAGGAGTGGGCCGTCGCGTGGGAGGAGTTTTGCCTGTGGGTTGTTACCGAGTATGGTGATCGCTATCCGGACGAAGAGGAGATGGTGGATGCAGCGGGATAGGCGTGTTTGAGGATGCTGAAAAGTAAATGAACAAATACACGATATACGATTTAAGGGCAACCTATTTTTTAACTGCTTTAACTCGGATTTTGGAACAGACGTAAGTAAACGAGGAAGCCACCTCGCGAGTTACTGGCACAGGACGTCAACTACTTCCAACAAATGCCTGCCTCCCTGGGCAACTTGACTGCCCAACATGGTACACGCTTTACTCATTTTACATCAGGCACAACTCACATTCCGAGGTATATACATCTTGACCAGCTGGAAGGAATTGACGGTTAACAGCTGACTGGATATGGCTAAACCATACACAAACAAAAAAAAAAAAAAAAAACGGTCGAATGCCTGCACACCACAGGCGCACCGGGAATCGAGCCCGATGCGGGGGTCGAACCCGCAACCTTGAGATCAAGAGTCTCACGCTCTACCGATTCAGCTAACCGGGTCGTTGGCTCCGATACGGGGGAATCGAACCCCGGGCTCGGCAGTGAGAGTGCCGGATGTTAGCCACTACACCATATCGGATTTGCTCGGAAGAGTGTGTCCCTTTGCTTGTTGGAGACAGACGTGCTGTCGGTGGGGCTATAGCAAAAACGAAATTTCACACGCTAGGTAGGTAGTTGCATGATCAACGGGGATGATGGCGAGAAAACAAGGCAGCTGCGGCCGGGTTAAAGCCGGTGAGGAGCAGGGGGGGAAGAAAGAGCGGACGAGGTATAGAATCCGCATGGCGGGTTGTCAACTCTGTTGTCATCACTATTGCAACTGGTACAATATCGTCACGGCATCTCTTTATTCCTGACCGGGCATTATCATAACCACCCAAGAAAGGCACTATGATGTCTAAAAACGGCTGGCAGTTTGCGATTCATGGCCGAGCCGCGATATGCCTGCCTGCCACCGTCCGACTCAGTGATCGACGTGCTTCGCGTCTCGTCACTTCGGAAACAGAGACAGCCGTTCTCTTTGCCACCGATTCTGGCACACAAAACTAGGTTTGCTAGTTGTAACAGTCAGCATTGAACAAACCCAGTTGAGGCGAGTACAAGCAGACCGTCCAAGTGACATCCGTTCAGACATGTTTGAGAAGATTTGGTAACGCGGTTGTTTTCGGCATACATCCACATGCGGACTCGACCGTTCGGGAGAACAAGCGAGCCTACGGAGTGTCCGATGGCCCCGCGGCAGTCATCACGCGATGATAATGGGTTGGTGCGGCACCTTGACCGTATCAGGGGAGCAAGCAGGCAAAGCAACAAAGAAAGGGCTCACCTATGTTTCTTGTCCCAGACCTCTGATGTGAGTAAACTATGCGGCGCTGTCAAGACGGCGCCGCGAGTGGGTTTCTAGCTTGGGCCACGACCAGGTCATGCCTCGGGCTTAAGCTTTCGCTTTTCCCTGAGCTGTTGCAACTTGGTCTTGTCGGCCTCGAAGCGCCGAACAAGCGCGTCATGCTCTGCCTTTTGCTTCTCCCGCTGCTGGAAGCGGTAGAATCCGCTCGACAGCTCCGCCTTGCGACGTTCCTCCCTCTCGGCCAGGCGCTGCCTGGACCGCTCCGCCTCCTCCATGGTGACCGGGGCTGTCCTCGAGGATCCTCCGCGGGTCACCGTGATGAAGCCATCGGCGTCGGGCTCGTTGCGTAGCCTCTTGGAGAGCTCGGCGGCCTCGCGCTCGCGCCTGTTGAACAACGTAAAGAAGGAATTGACAGCCGACTCTACCACATCGCGGTCCGGGTACGAGAGCTGGTTGTGGCCGCGAAGCCATGGGGCGCCCAAGGGTGGCGGGGCGTCCTTGGCATCCCTGTCGACGCCCCAGACGGGGTACTTTTTGGTCTTGTGAAGCTTGGCCACGGCCTTGAGGACCACGCTGACGCTACGATCGTCGGCGAGGAGGACTACTGCCGTGCTGCCGCTGCGCCTCAGCCGTCGCGGCCACGTCTCCAGCAGCGTCCTGGCGGCTTGGAGCTCTGCCCCCTCATCATCGTCCTCCACCTCGCCCCTTTTCCTCTTATTGGAATTGTGCGCCGCCCGGGCCAGTCGGACAGCCTGGGACGGTAGTAGGGAGGCGCATTTGCTCCGCTTCTGGTCGTCGAGGAATGCGATGTCCTCGAACTTGCCAGCTCCAACGAGAGCGGCAAACAGGGCCCGAAAGTGAGCAACGGTGCTATCGGTGGGGACATTGGCCAGGAATAGAGATCGGTCGTCGTCGGGGCTGGGTATCTTGGGACTGTGGCGTCTCAAGTAGACGTGGTGCACAGCGGCATGTGGGTATGCGGGCGAGGCGGGGAAGACGACAGGCAGGACAGAAAAGTCGCCGAGCGTGGCCGGTATGACGCCTGATTTTGCCGTGGCCCTTGGCGGCGAGGCCGCTGTGGTTCTAGGCCCCATGGCTTGGGCCGAGAGAGCAGCTGAGCAAGGGGCAGGAGGACGGATGGAGGCCAGGATCTCAGCAGTTGCAAAACAACGCCGCGGTCTCCGAGCTAGGGCGGAGGAAAGGGAGGTTCCGCGACAGCGCTGTAAGGAGGGAAGGGCGTAACGAGGGTTGCCATGCGTGATGGGGAGTCTGGAACGGAGGACCGTCGCGATACAACGGCCGGAAACTTGCTGGGGGAAATTTTCTTGCGCAGTTGGCTGAATGATTTGCAGGATGTTTATCTTATCGCGGCCCCACTCCGGGGGCAGCTGAAGGCTGGGTGGGTCCGTTCAGCTGCCCCCAACCTGCTGCGGTGAGCCGCACAAGGCAATCCGGCATCAAAGACTAAGGCAGGCCGACTCAAGCGGCGCCGGCCAGGGGACCGTAGCTGAACACGTGGCCCTGACAGGCTTCCAGCCTCTCGGCGCTATGGGTTCCGCCCGAGGCTGAACATATAGCGTCTCTGCTGATTGATCGTCGTTTGCGCCCGCGTCGCCGGACGGGGGTCTTCCTGGCCAAGCAGAATCGCCCGCTGCCTGCCCGCATCTCGCACCATTGTTCTCGCGTCCTTCTACCGACCCTTCCGGCGTTAGGTCGACTCCGTTGGCGGCCTTCGGTAGCGGCACGAACCTTTGGGTTCTCGTCCTCGTGTTTAGAACATCTGCGCTGGCCAGCCTTGATATGAGCCGCGTGTCCGGAAACACATGTTGGCCTAACTGATTTCGGAAAGACTTCAAATTCTTCTTCCCATTGGACAAAGCATTGCTTAAAGTATGGGGGCTACGCATATTTACTCACATTGTGGGTGCTGGCCTGTGCCCAAAAAAAAAGCTTGAGCTAAATCCAACTCTGTTGTTGTCGAGATAATGCCGTATTCTATAGGCCAGTCTCCATCGCTGAAACCCCGTTGCCGACTGCTCCATTGACTATTCTGGTCTACGCGTCCCCCAATGCGGCGTGTTTTACGTCCAGGCCTAGGCAGGTAGATAGGTACCTTCATAGGTTGGCACATTTCGACGGGGAGGGCCGGAGGATGGGACGAGACGAGGCTCGATCAGATCCACAGTGTTTCACTTCCACCGGGCCCACGATCGGATGCCGGCGAGTCGTTATACAGGCCTCTGGTACCTGTCTCTATTTTGACAGGTTGGTGTCATGCCCGTGTCAGCGCGGCTTCGACATGGGACTGGCCTCGAGGGCCGCCGGTCCCGGTCCAGGTGATGGCATCTCGGTGCCCGACGGACAGCGCTCCCTGCGTGCCAACTGCCATCTGTGGCCTGTCGATCATGAACGCCGAACTAGTCAGCACGCCTTGTTGTGACCGCCCTTATGGGGCCGGCCGTCCCGCACGTCAAGCTGGGGAATACGTGATGCCCTATAAGGGACGGACGGCCGCCACCCCTCCAGTTGTTGCATCCCGGAAAGACGTTACCGCCCCAGATCACGCCAAGCCGGCCCTTAGCTGTCCGCTGTCACGAAGAAAAATAATAATCACGCTGCGCGTGCAAAGCCGGATGTCTGTGCCCATAATATCATTAACAACAGAGTCAACATGTCCAGTCAACAAAAACTTAATACGCTGTCAAAGCCCCCTTTCCTCCTCCACATCCGCTCCCATACAAACTTCATCCTCGTCACGGTCGTGCTGGCCGTCTTTATCGATTCGTTCCTCTACGGCCTCATCCTTCCCGTCATTCCCTTGGCATTAGCTTCTCAGACAGGTGTGCTCGAGAGCGAAAGTCAGGTATGTAATTTCCATCCGATACATGGATCAGCCAAGCCCTTGTCCAGCAAACGCACTGTCGATCCCGCACTGGTGGCTGACTTTCGAGAGAAACGGAAAAACCACAGCAATGGAATTCGATCCTCTCGGCATGCTTCTCAGGGGCTCTCTTCCTTGCTAGCCCCTTGGCTGGCGCCTACGCCGACAAGTCGTCGTCGCGACGCGCTCCCATGCTCGGCGG